TGCAGCCGAGCGAAGCCGCGTCGTCGCAAGCCGCCTCTCCTCAGGCCGCCACAGAAGAGGAGAAGCCGAAACTGAAAATCTGCTGTGCCTGTCCGGAGACACGCAAGCCGCGCGACGAGTGTGTTGTCGAGAAGGGTGAGGAGTCCTGTGGAGAGTACATCGAGGCGCATAAGGTTTGCCTGCGGTCGCACGGGTTCAAGGTGCCGCGTGCACACGCAAGATCGCCTCGCGCCCGCGTGTTGACGCGTGCACGCCCCTCCCGCCACAGGTTTGAGCTGCGTCTCGCGCAGTAATCTGCTGTGCCACAGAGCGGACCCATCAACTCTGCGGGCGCGCGGCCCGAGTTCTGTGGCCAAGCAGTGGGCGCGATGTGGACTGTGTACTAGCTAGCTCTCCGCGGCGGTGTCTTGAACACACGCGCTTCCCGCTGTGTCTGTGTCGCTCGTGATAGTCTGACCGACTCGCTGCAAAATCGGTCTCACTCTCTGTGGTCTCTCTCGCGGAACTACGGTCTCTCTCTCTGGTCTCACTTTAGCTCTATAAAAAGTAATATATCTTTACTTCCAAAACCCGGACGTGCCTCCACCGGCACGCCGCTTCCGACAGGGTGATGGAAGGTTCGACGCACCCCCGGACTGGGCAGAGAGATCCCAGGGCATCTGGCCTGGGCTGTCCACCCCGCCCCCACTTGCCCTGACTGCACAGGATAGCGTGACCCGACAAACGGCGACACATAGCGGGGGACACTGCGCCGGGGGGTATGCCTAACTTTGGTGCTTGGCATACCCCCCGGCGCAGTGTCACTTTAGCTCTATAAATACATAATGGACGGCTCATTCACGTATATACCGGGCCCACTGTACTACCCAGCATTCTCACATCGCAAACTTGTCCAGACGCTCGCCTGCGGGGGACGTCGTGCAACTTGCCGCGGCCGCGGCCGGCGCGCCACTCTCGCCGGCACACGCGCCACGCCGCAGGACACAGCTGTGCTCTCTCGATGTCACATGACGCGCTGCACCGAGCGCCAGCGCGACGAGTCGCCCTTCGCCTCCTGGACCATGTCGCGGAAGCGGACGACGTACGGCTCGCCTCGCAGCTCCACCTCAACCTCCCCCTCCCCCGCCCGCCACGCCTCCTCGATCTCGTCCGAGATTGCCTCGACGAACGGCTTGAACGTCTTTCCGAGCATCACCTCCCACCGGCCAACCCCGCCGCCGCCACCCTTCGCCGCCACCTGCCCGGCCTGCTGCTCCCCGGTCCGGGGCGCCCTCGTCGTCCGCCCGGCTCGTCCCCCGTCAATGGATTCGACTTCGAACTCGTCCGCCGCCCCGCCTTGCCGACCTAGTAGCCCTCGGCGCCTTGGCGCCCTCGCGGACTTGCGGCCCTCTTGTGGGCCTGTGCTTCCGACGGACTTCGACCCGCCTTGCCTCCTCTACGTTGGCGGGGCGCTTGCGCTTCCCCCCACCTTGACCTCCCCCCCTTTGCCCCCCCCCAGGG